TTATTAAGCTCAAATACAGGCAGGAAGGTAACTGGAGAAGCCCAGCAGTTCAGTCAAAAGGATTGATCAACACTTTACAGCCTTCCTCCCATCACCCTCTTCTTTTTGAGTTTTAACTTAATTTTCTATATGATTTGTGACACTTTATAAAAATGAAAAGAGGCATGGAAATGCAGTTGTAAATTTTCCTTTTGCTGGCAGTCCAGACAATGCCTAGCACAGAGGGCACATTTAATTGATTCATTATGTTCTGATGTAACTAGGCAGGATATGTGGATGAACAACCTGCCAATCAGAGAGTTTTGTTCCCCTTGTCTAACATTTCGTTGGAAGCAAAGGCATTTCTAATATATGGTTAAATCTCTGACTGTTCCCAAAATAAGTAACACTTTGTAGTCCTTCACCTTATCCCCACATGAAATAAGCTTAATTAAAAGCACCAGAAGTACTTTGGAAGAGAAGTTTCAGGAATGCATGAAGTTATAAGTCATTCCTAAAATATATTCAGCATTCCTTATATTCTTTACTCATTATTATAGGTATCTAAAATTTGTTTCATCATTATCTATATTAAGTATTAATTAAGGCTCAAATAACAAAATACTTCCAGGAAAGCCTGGTTGAGACCCAGGTGTGTTTGGCTCTGGAACAGTGAGAAATGAGAATGGGGAAGAACTAGCATATGGGGTGAGTCACAGAAACCATCCAATGAGAAGCATCCATTTCATGTGTCAAGTATAAAAGATCAAGAAAAAAAAAAGCATATGGAGGAGACATTGAAATAAAACTCACAATGAGTAAGGAAACTGGACTAAGAAACTGTGGACTACAGCAAATTGACGCTAGAAAACATCTCAGGAACTTTACTGGGTAGTACTTGAATAGCTAAACATTCAGCTCTCTCAATAAAATTAACAGCACTATAAAAATCATGTCAAAATGGCCAATTTAAGGACTTATTTGCTTCTAAAATTTGTTATCTCTTGGAACATTACTCATAGGACTCATATAAAGTATCCTAGGCAAAAAACTTATGAATATTAATTTTAATACTAATTTTATTTGCAAAAATGACTCACTGTTAGCAACAGATAGTGTCATGAACACACACGCATGCAAACAGCTACCAGCAAAACTGACAGAAAGATTGTGGTGGCTTCTCTCCCAGGGCTTCTTGTCCCTCTTCCAGAAATGTAGACGCAGCCTTGATTCCACGTGTCATGCTTCTTGTTCTTTGCTTTCCCCTTGGCATGAGTGAATTCCTCTAAACCAGTAACTTCCCTCTCTGCTGATTATTATGTTTTAATCTTTGCAGGAGAATTACAATACTTTTTCTAATTTTCCTGATTTTCAACTACTCTTTCTCAGACTTTGGGTTCTAAAATAAATGTTTATGAGAAATGCTGGGAAGGAATTCCCACCTGGAAACACTACTCCTATCACTGTAAATGACTCTCCCTTTCATCCAACAGTTAACCTGTGAGAAAGGAGTCGGAGAACTCCACTGTGACAACATACCGGCGATGTTTCTGTCATGCATTCTGGTCTCAAGGTGCTTACTGATTTGTAGTGGAGACATATACTCGATTAAGAACATTGCATGATAAAATGTATTCTAATAAAATTCCAATGACAGAGGCATTGACATATGTCAGTGGAGAGATAGGTTGATTCCCAGGCAAAGACTTCTCTGCAAGGCAGGTACCAAGGACAGACTCCCATACCCAAAAGACTACATGAAGGATATTAACAGGGTTTTGAAAGGAGTAGAATTTTGAAAGAAGTAAAGAGGGAGGAGAGGAAATGTAGAGGAAACCTAAAGTGGTCTTGTAAGTTTTGACTTCTGCTTATGCTACCAGGCATCTATACCTTGTCATGGGTGGGGTGGGGGGTATCATCATTTTCTCAAGGGAAACATCATTGATTGACACTTCAATCCATTATTTGACTCATGATGTATTGATATTTCACTCACTGTCCTAATTCCAGAATGTAATAATTTTATGGAAAGACTCTTATATTAAGAAAATAATTTTTCATTAAGAAGGAAGAGCTCAGATGGTCACTAGACATATTGTAGTGACCATTTCATGTTGTATACACATATTATATCAGTATTTTGTACACCTGAAACTAATATAATGTTATATGACAATTATAGTTCAACAACAAAAAAGATGCTTCTAACAACCTGCATGCGAGCTGCATTCAGCAGGGTATAATTTCTGTGAATGGAAGTGATTCCCATTCTGCAATGCAAGTAATGAAGATTACAAAAAGACATAGCAAAGTTATTTCTACAAAGCTACTTGCCTACTGCATTCAACACAGGGTTACTTCAGTGCATGGATGTGATACTCATTCTGTAGCGCATATTGTCAAAGTGTTTGAGAAAACATAATAATTTGTTCAAGAAATCTACTTGCAGAGTGTTTCCAGCACAGTGTTATTTCATTGAGTGGAAGGGATACTCATTCTGAAATGCATATAGTGAATTATTTAAATACATTGGTAAATAAGATGTTCCTAATAAAGCTACTTGCAAGCTGCATTCAGCACAATGTTATTCCTTGCAGTGAAATGTTTAACGAAACTTCTAATTGAGATGTTTCTAAAAGACCTACTTCCAGGGTAAATTTGCCTAGTGTTATTTTAGTGAATGGAAGGGATACCCTCATTTAAGCCTGTAATGAAGAGGTTAAGAAGACATTATAATGATGTTTCTCACAGTTACTTGCAAGTAGCATTCGTAACTGTGCTGTTGCAGTGAATGGAAGTGATTCCCAGTTTGTACTGCATGTAGTGCAGTGTTTAATAAAAGAAAAAAAAGGTGGAGGAGCTCCTTTTATTAAGCTCAAATACAGGCAGGAAGGTAACTGGAGAAGCCCAGCAGTTCAGTCAAAAGGATTGATCAACACTTTACAGCCTTCCTCCCATCACCCTCTTCTTTTTGAGTTTTAACTTAATTTTCTATATGATTTGTGACACTTTATAAAAATGAAAAGAGGCATGGAAATGCAGTTGTAAATTTTCCTTTTGCTGGCAGTCCAGACAATGCCTAGCACAGAGGGCACATTTAATTGATTCATTATGTTCTGATGTAACTAGGCAGGATATGTGGATGAACAACCTGCCAATCAGAGAGTTTTGTTCCCCTTCTCTAACATTTCGTTGGAAGCAAAGGCATTTCTAATATATGGTTAAATCTCTGACTGTTCCCAAAATAAGTAACACTTTGTAGTCCTTCACCTTATCCCCACATGAAATAAGCTTAATTAAAAGCACCAGAAGTACTTTGGAAGAGAAGTAACCAAACCAAGAAGTGCTAATCTAGGAAAAAAATGAGACGTGGAGGATCGCACTGTGTATCCAAGAGGCTTAGGTTCAAAATAAATCTACATAGGCCTTGGATTCCTTCTAGAAATTATTTTTCTGATTAGAAGAGTAGTGGAGTATTATTTTTAAAAACATGGAAGAATCATCCATAAATGAATAAACAAACTATCCATAATTCTACAAATGGCAGATAACAACCACTGACTTTTTGGGGTATTTCTATTCATCATCATGTATGAGTATTTTTACAGAATTGGGCTCTTATCATAAGTACCCATTTGCTTTTATCACTTACAAAAAGACATGCTTTCATTGTGCTCTCACCACTTACAGCTATAATGATAAACATTGCTCTTGTTACTAAATATTAATTTAAATAGGACTTAAAGTATGCTGTATTTATGTATCCAATATTGGAAATTAGATTTGAATGAGTTCTCATTTTATAAAAGTAAGAAACAGCCCTACATTTTCAGTTTTGTTTGACAATTTTTTGAGGTTATGACTTTAGCATAAGAATTATTGAACAAAGACTTTTTTAGGCCTTTGCTGTCCTTAGTCATATGTCCTTCTGAAAGGTTATATCAATTTCTTAAATTGGTTTTACTATCCACTGATAGACACTCTCACTGTCTTCCTGGAACTGCTTACAATTGCTTATTGAAGTCAGCTTTATGGGCTGGATCCAGACCCTTGCCTGACAGGCTGTAGCCCCCCATCACTGCTCTGGGAGATGCCCTTCCTGCTAAGAACTGGCCCTGCAGCCCTCTTCACCTCATTGGTCCTCAGTGTGTAAATGTGGAGGTTGGGCAGTGTGATGTCAGCTCTTAACACCAGACAGGGACACCCATTCTATCTGAGGGCTTCTCTGTGGTGGGGCACAGGTACAGGAAGATAAATCAGCCCCCCCTCAGCAGGAGGAGCTGAGGTGGGAGGGGCGGTGGCGCCACCTGCTGAGTGGATCATTAACATGGCACAGGAAAGGTGCAGAACGAGACCCGGCAAAGGCAGCGAGGAAGCCCACAGCACAGAGGGCTCCCGCCAGTACTGGTATCAACCAGCTTCAGTTTTCCATCGTGTAGCACGGCTGGCACATAGTAGGTGTTTAGTCAGTGAATGCTAATCCCTGACCATTTCATAGCAGAATGAAAGACAATGAAGACGATGGGTTGGGATGTATGGAATCAAGGAAATGCGATGCATTAAATAAGCTATTATTTGCCATACATTTGAATTTAAAACAATAATAAATATATTTAATGGAGTAAAATATGTATCTTTATGGATAGCCCTAATTTAAGGTGCCTTTCAAAGGATAAATTAGTAACATTACCTCCCCAAGAAGCAAGGTGTCCAAAGGCCTGGCCCTTTATTTACAGAGTATATGAGGGGGTTTGTGGTAGAGCAATCAGCTTGGGTGAGCTGTGGATCTTTAAAGTAGGGCTAGTAGACCAGAGTTCCTACATTCAAGGATTTATCCGATTTTCAGACCTTATTCAAAGCACTTCAAGAACACGAGTGCAGATTGTGGACATAGGGCAAATATGGCAAAAGATATACTAACTGCAGAGTGTGGAAAAGTACTCTAATTCTGCATTCGGTTTTTAGAATTCATTATCATGGCAAACGACAGACACCCCAGCTCCCCCGTGCCTTAGATGGTGTCAGGCTGCTTTACAGATGGTGGCATTCCTCAGGGCACCTTTGACATCCTTGTTCCGCAGAGTGTAAATTACGGGGTTGAGTAAAGGGGTGACAAAGGTGTAGACCAAGGCAATTTGGCGGCCCTCATCCTCTGAGGTGCTGGACTGGGGACACAGGTAGACCAAGCTGGAACATCCGTACTGCAGCAGGACCACGGTGAGGTGCGAGGAGCAGGTGGAGAAGGTGCGGCAGCGGCCCTCAGCCGAGCTGATGCGCAGGATGGCCAAGGTGATGAACATATACGAGACACAGATAAGCAGGAAGGGGATGGTCAGCACGAGAATGCCCAACATGTAGAGGACGGCCTTGTGCACGTGGATGTCAGCGCAGGCCAGCCGCAGGACCACAGGCACGTTGCAGAGGAAGTGGTTGATTTCCATGAGGTGCCCACAGAAAGGCAGGTGAAGATAAAGGATGTGAGCTGCAGGGATAGGAAGATGGCCAGGCCCACGGGACAGGCCACCATCTGGATGCACAGCTTCTGCATCATGATGAGGGTGTAGTGCAGTGGGTGGCAGATGGCCACGTAGCGGTCATATGCCATGATTGCCAAGAGAAAGCAGTCAGTGCTACCAAGGGTGACAAAAGGGAACATTTGTACCCCACAGCCAGCCAGCAGAATGCGCTTCTGGGGCCCCAAAGGGTTGGAGGGCATCAGAGGCACCAGAGCGGTGGAGTAGCTGATCTCTACAAAGGACAAGTTGGCCAGGAAGAAATACACTGGGGTGCGCAGCGAGCCGCGTGTGCACACCACCCAGATGATGGCTGTGTTGCCACAGAGGATCAACAAGTAGAGAAGGAAGAGGCAGGAGAGGGGAGCCTGGAGTTCAGGGACCGCGGTGAACACGTGGAACACAAACTCGGTGGGGCCCGATTGGTTGAGGACGAGGCTCCCAGTCAACATGTCTCCTGCCAAAGAGCAGAAAGTACCAAACCTTCTTTCGCTGAATTGCTTTATTGCCTGAATAAAAACAGGGACTTTTAATTTGACTTTTGACTTAGAGTTACCCATTTAGTATCCAGTTTCCAATCTCAATGCTTGCCATAAATTCATAACACAGGGTGTGGTATATTTTTCCTTGGAAATCTTCATGTATCGGATAGTTGTCTGTAGTTTGTGACACAAAGACATGCAGACAGTCCTGGTGAAAGGTCTTTTTTTAATCTGGTATTTTAAATTAAATTGATAAGGGCCAATTCTTTGCTTGTATTTAATTAAAATGGAGAGTTGTGTAATTGTAGACATTTTCAAAACTATATAAATGGATGTGTGTTGTTCATTTTTTGGGTAAACTTTCTTATGAAAATATAACAAACATCCAGAAAAGTTCACAAATCTTAAGTATGCAGCTTGATTTATTTTTTACACAATGAATACACTAGTCTAACCACCCAAGATTAAGAAATAGAATAATTCCAGTAACCTACAACTATCTCTCCTTCCTCCTCAGTCTTTATACCCCACAAATGTGACTACTTATTTGATTTTTATCATTGCAGATTAGTTTCTTTCAATTTACATGTGTGATGATAAACTACATACTGTATTGTAACTGTGTTATATTTATCATTGGCTTCAACATTGTGTCTTCAAAGGTAATTCTTGCTGCTGTGTGTAATAAGACTTTGCTCTTTCCACTGTTTTATAGTTTCCCATTTTATGGTTATTTTATGATTTATTCATCATTTGTTCACTTTTTATCCAGTTATTTTAACTCACACAAAATGAGCCAAACATGTTTGATTCCAATCCTTTCTGATCTATACTCTTCATGTATTTGCTCTCATTTAAATCTTTTTTCTGAGTTTCCAACCATGAACCTAAACTTTAGGATGTGGACAGATTCAAATGAAGGGGAGCTGTAAGGGCGTAAGGTTAACAATGAAAGTGGAGCTGCCTGAGATGAGAAAAGAGAATAAGGAAACTAAAAATTCAGTAACATCATCGACACAGGAATCAGAAAAATCAGGCCAATAAGAAAGAATATTATAAGCTTCTGGGAAAGGAAAAAACATCTGTAAATTTAAACACTTTCAGGTTGGACTACAAGTTTATTTTCAATACAAAAACCCAAGAGACAGTAAAGTAATGTTGACAAGGGTTTTAAGAAAAACAAATTGTTGTGAAAGTATTCTGTGCCCAGGCCTTATGTTCAAAGTGTTCAATGATTTATGTTCAAAAGCAACAGAAAGACTGTCTCTGGTTCACAAGGGCTTAGGACATATGATATTTTAAATACCGTTAAAACAATTTCTCAACAAAGACTCTGGTTGCTGGGTGATTAATTGAAATACATGATTCAGGATTGGGAAAGTTGTAATATAAAACCTGATTTTGAAAAATCAAATGGTAAAATATGTACTTAACATTAAAAGGCTCATGTAAATGTTAAAAACAAAACAATTCCAAGACTAATTCTTGAAAACATATGTAATATAAAATGCAAAAATTAAAATAATTATGTATATTAAAAATCACAAATTATATAATTGGGAAATTGATAGGGAAGGATGGGAGAAATGAGAGTATACTAATTTACTTATTCTAGGAAAGGAAGGACTCAAGAGATATTTCATTTAGACGTGACTAATTAGAGAAATATTTAGTCAAGCATATATTTCTGAATAACAATCATCAGTAGAGTAAAACCAGGATATCCCTTCCAAATGATGTGATTTAAAAAATATAATGCAGAAAGCAATTTTTATAAGTAGAATAAAACTGGAAGACAGTGGAAAAGAACATTTTTCAGATCCCAATGTACAACTAATGATTTGCAACCAAATGAGCAGAGTTCATAAAAATACTGATATTTTGACAGAATAATACTTTAAAAGTTCTGTGGGTCAAAATACAATAAGCAAACTGACTAGAAAATGAAATTTTATTATGCAGCAAAAAATAGAACCATTGATAGAAAAACAGAGTATCTGAACAGGCAATTCCAAAATGAAATATGCAGAAGCAAACAAATATGTACAAATTCAATTTCATTAGTATTCAAATAAGTATAAAATCAAATCAAATTGGATACTGTTTACAAACTGACAGTAATTGAAAAATGATAATAATTGGTATTGTTAAAGATATATTTCCAAATACTGCTGTGGAAGTATAAAGTGCTATAAAAATTTGTGGAGTGCTGTCTGATAATATTGCCACTTGGCCACAAACTTGCAGAAATACATACACTTTGATTCTGCACTATTATTTTAAGAAATTTATTCTCATAAACCAAACATGAGTTAACATAAAATTATTGACAGGAATATTCATCACAGTTTTCTGTATACTGGTGAAAAATTTTTATCAACCAAAATATCAATAATAAGAAAATGCTTAATTTAATTATGGTCTTTCCTTGTGATGAAACACACAATCACTTAAAAATGTTGCAGAAAAATATTTAATAAGATCAGAAGGACTCTTGAAATATCAGAATATAAAAAAATATTACAATTTTGTTTAAAAATAATTATGCCTATTCATAAAAAATAAAAGAATATGCATGAAAAATTAATGATGGGTATAGCAGGGTTGGCTGAATTATGAATCTTTTTGTTTATGACTTATGCTTTTCTGTACTTACAAATTTTATAATGAACTCACACAACTTTGCAGTCATATAATAAATTAAAAATTTCCCTTTATTTTTTAGCATTTTAGCATAGTTTTGGGAAGGAAGGATGGTAGAGTGTCAGTCACATGGATTTTTGTAGTCAATGAAATCTGGGTTTGAAATCTAGTCCTGTTATTTGCTGATTTAATTTTTACATTAATTACAGGAAGTTTATGAAGATTAAATGTTTCAAATACATAATGTGCCTGGGACATAACAAGTGTCCAATAAATGTAACTCCCTCCCTCTCTTTTCTCATGATGGTGTTTCCCTTTGATATTTACGCTTTGTTCTTCTCTTCCCAGAGTGGAGATGGAGGTTCCTCTAGAGCTGTATCCTTCCAGTCCTTGTGGTTGCTCCACTAAACCTTGAATAATAAGAAGGGTAAAAGAGAAAAGGAAGAAGTATAAAAAAAAAAAAAAGTCGAGGAGACATTTCAGTAAACTAATCGACAAATAAGAAGCACTGACTCAGGAATACATTTAAACATGATTCTATCTTATTGAGATGCCAACATCAAATGAGCAGTATTGTACCTAAATAAGAACAGCTCAGATTTGTTGCAAAGCATACTTAATCGGTGGATAAAGCCAGACATAGTATTGGAGCCTGTTGTCTTCCAGGACAGGTTGCAATAGGGTGTTTTCAAGAAAAATCGAACACATATCCAAGGTCACACTACAACCAGTTGAAAAACCAAACATGTCAGAATTTGTATTTACAAACAGGGTTTTCCCTTTCAATGGTGACTTCCAAAGGTTTTTCACTTACTCTAATGTTGCCTCATTCAAATCATTTTTGGAGCTTCTCTTGGGATTACTTTCACAGATTCTCCACTTATCCTTGAATATCATCAGTTGTGACATGTATTCATACCTGGAGGATATATTTGCTCTTTTTTCTTGACAGCAAAACATTTGAGGTAGAGTCAGATGAAATACAGTGGATAAATGAGGTGTCACAGTTCTCACTATATAGTTTGATCAAAATAGAGTTGGCGAGGCTAACATTATGCACTAGAAAGACATAGTTTTGTTAGCTTTTTATGAAATGTAAGAATAAATATTACCATTGCTATTAAGTTTACCATTCAAGATGTGTGGCACAATCTTTGTGAAAATTTCTCTCATGTTTAAGTTTTCAAACTTAAGAAACTGATTGTTATTCAAATTTAACTCTTTTGACCATTCACCTTGAAGAATCCTTGATACAAGTGGAATATCTGACCGTTTTCACATTTTCATCTGACTAATGGGTGAGAGGTTGCTTATGTCTAAAAAAGTTCTTAGTAGACATTTTCCCTTTGGCTGCCCTTCATGTCCAAAGGAATACTGTGCAAATAAATCTGTCCTGACTCTTTATCATTCTGTTGTTTGATGTGAGGCATTCAAAACTTCATTTCTTTATTACCTAACAATCCATGCAAATTTATAAGCTGCACTTATTATTCTCAACCTTCTACTACTCTACCCAAGCTGTTCTCAGAGAAATTCCCAACCCTGTTATCACTGCCCACAGAATTGATTTTTGGGTGTCTGTATTTTTTTTCTTGGGGAGGTGATGCCTAAAACAATTCCTGGCAATGCTAGTTTGATAAATATTTCAATCAGGACTCTATTTTAGCTCCATTAGACAAGAATGCCTGTCTTGTTCACCAGTATATCCCTACCACAATTGATATGATTTCAACTAAACTGAACTGTTTTATAGCTAAATCTCATGTCCTTTAAATGTCCTTCCAAAGCCACTATTCAGTGGCTCCTTCTGCAGCCCACTTAGGCTGCAATTGCTTTAGCCCTGTAGACTGGTGCTTTCTTAGCCTAATGATTACTTTGTTTATATTTTTCTGCTACATGCAATAACGGAGGGCTTGGGTAGGATGGATTCAGTTGATAAATAAATGGTGGGAAGCACAGCAATTAACCTGTTATGCGTTGTTGAACCAATAAGTTTGATAATGTTGGGAAACCCATCTAGTAGCAATTATTCCCCCATGGCTGATGAAGCAATATTGTAATGTGTAATGAACGCATATTGCTAATGCATAAACCCTGTGCATAGAAAACCAAAACACTTCTGAAAATATCTGGAGATCCATGAAACCATAGCAAAGGCCAGTTATAGGTCAAATGTGTGCTTATTTATAAAACATGTATAAAGTTGATTCCCTATAACTTAAAGGGTACTCAAGAGGCCTCTATTTCTGTCCTCTCATATCCTACATGCAAAAACCATGGCCTGCCAAGATTAAGCCTTGTCCAAAGGTATATGGCTAGTTATGGGC